CCATACACAGCAGTGTCCCACAGGTTTAATAAGCCATACACAACAGTGTACCACAGCCTTAACAAGCCACACACAGCAGTGTACCACAGCCTTAACAAGCCACACACAGCAGTGTACCACAGTCTTAACAAGCCACACACAGCAGTGTACCACAGTCTTAACAAGCCACACACAGCAGTGTACCATAGCCTTAACAAGCCACACACACAGCAGTGTACCACAGGATTAACAAGCCACACACACAGCAGTGTACCACAGGATTAACAAGCCATACACAGCAGTGTACCACAGCCTTAACAAGCCACACACACAGCAGTGTACCACAGCCTTAACAAGCCACACACACAGCAGTGTACCACAGGATTAACAATCCATACACAGCAGTGTCCCACAGGATTAACAATCCATACACAGCAGTGTCCCACAGGTTTAATAAGCCATACACAGCAGTGTACCACAGGATTAACAAACCATACCACAACCTTAACATGGCATACATAGCAGTGTATCATAGGATTAATGAGCCATATACAGCAGTGTAACACAGGATTAATTGTCAATTGAGTTTGAAAATTTTTGAAATTAATTACTGTTTTTTCCATTTAAACTTTTAACTTGTTCTTAGTAAAATCTTTTTGTATTGTTACATAACAAATATTTCTATGATGAGTCACTGAAGATAAATTATCATTACAAGCAAGAACAGTGAATAATAAAAAAGAAGTTCTTACATTCAAACGAAGTGTTAAGTAGTCAAGGAGAGCTCCAAGTTTATTACTGAAGACCATGTAATAACAGTTCTTCTGGATTCCACAAGCAGTACTAAGCACCACACACACCTTCTCCAAAACCCTACAAAAATACAATCCTTATGGTGAAAGAAAGATAAAGCTTTAAGTAAACTTTCTCAGGTTACCTTCAAATTTGTCAAGAATAAACTTTTTTGGCATGTTTCATGGAATATAAAACAGTTTTCTGGCACAATATCTTTAAATATCTAATAAGAAGAGAAAAAGTTAAAGTCTGTTAAACTAGCCCCAATATATCATACTTCAATTTTAACCAAATATAAAAGATTGTTTTGATTAGGTGAGTTTTAAATTTATAAATACCACACCAATGCTCCAGATAAGCTTTTGATATAGAGTATTTTACTATTCAAAATCAACTATGAAGCTGAAATGAAAGCTAACAACTGAAAACTTTTATATTTTTGGATTTCAGTGACTTTTTTAATACCTGACACAATTATGCTACTAGGCACTTGATCTTCTTATTTCTGTATTAATGTCCTATTAAGAACCTCCTGAGGCAATTAAAGCATAAGTTCAATACAGTAAGTGCTTTATTGATGTTGATCAATAAAATTAGACTTGTATAATTTTCATTTTGACAATAACCCCAAAATACAGATAACTAACATGTAACTCATTTGTGAATTTTTCTTTTCATCACTAAAAACTTGTACTTTTAGTAAAGAAAAGAAAGAATCACTGAATGATCTACAGGCCTGATCTATTATTTAATTTGTCACTCCCTCTGCAGGAGACTAAAGTTTTATTACTGCTTGGGAGAGCAAACCAAACATATAAAGTAGGTCTCCATAATACAGTGCACATAGGGTTAAATGATAGAATGTTGTGTATATTTCTTGAAATGACAAATGTTGGGTATGTTTAATTTGAACAAGTTTTTGAACCTATGACATGATAAATATTGGGTATGTTTCTTTGTGTTATATAAACCAGCACTAGAACAGTGTAAAGAAATAAATATATATTAATACAAATGAGTAATTTCTACTCACCTACTGGGTATTACAAGTCCAACTTTTGAAGCAGTTTCTGATATGACTCCAACAATTTTCATTAGAGTAGATATGCCCTGTAATCCATTAAAAACTTCTAAATCATCAGTCCTGCTCTTTGAAAATATTCTTTGTAGCTCTCCTAAAGCTCTATCCAGGCTACTGACCAGGCTACTTTCCAATGGTCCCGATCTTTGACTAGATAGGCACTTAGCTATCTCTTTTAAATTCTTGTGTATCCTGTTCCAAGCAAATTTGTACGAAAACTGTCAGATACTCAACAGGTCTAGTAATTCCATTTCTTTATGAGCTTTAGGCATTTAATATCATAACATTCAATATTTCTTAAGGCATATAAATAGCATTTAAGATACTTTTCAGTGTTATTATAGTCCAGCCCAGCTCATTAATCTAAAAACAACAGTTTTTAAATGCAATACATAAACTATTTATGTACCAAGCTGCTTGTGGGTTCAGCTCTTTTTTTTATATTGTTATGGAGTTGCTAAAAAATGTACGTTTCAAGAAAAAAAAAACAAAAAAAAAACATCAACATAAAACAAAAATAACTACCAATCATGACCTCCTGAACAGTGACTTGTAGCAGACAAAAAGATATACTTGAAATAAAATGTTTACACACCTACGACATGAAATCCTTATTAATAAACTAATCACAAGAATTCTGCAGAAAATAAAATATGCAGTTTAACATGACTTTTATTACAAAATTAGCCTAACGGTTCCATTGATTCAACAGTAACACGTCAGATACCCAGTTACATCATTCAATAAAAACACAGTATTATTTTATAACTTTATAGCTATTTTGGGAAGTAAACAATGATCAAAATACATCAACAGTAGATGTTTTGCAATACTAATACAAGGGAACATAATGCAAGTAGTACAAAATATGCATGAATCAACTGAAACAATAAAACCAACTCCTGTAGAAACTCATTTCTAATTAGCTTTCTGCTAATTCTTCAAAGGTAGTAAATATTAAGTTTCTATGAAATATGCTCACTTTGTTTTGTTTTCTGATTCCATCGGGCCAACAGTTTCAGCCCATAAAGCTTCATACTCTGTTCCCCTGTGGGAGGCAATATCAATACTTATTTGAAATCTTTATAATACTGTAATAAATATTCAATGACTTTTTGTATAACATGTGAAACAAATAAAATGGGATTTTTATAAAATTAGTCCAATATCAAAATATAATGCTCTAAGCACTCTTCTTTTTATTCATATTCCTGTCTTTTTTTCTATCTTATCATACAATATAAATTTTTATGCAAAATCATGAATGTACATTTTACAAATATGAAAATGCACCTTGGAAAATAATTGTGAGTTATCTAATTTATGTTAAGTTATTAAATGTAAGCATCTAAAACACTGTTTGGTTTCTAATAGCACACAAAAACAGAAGTGAAGATAGTGTCAAGCAACATCATTGAAATATCTGATAATTGGAGAGTTAAACAGATAATTTATTGGGGTAATTATAATCAAGTCATTTATAGCCCTAGCACAATATTGTTTAATACTTAAAGAACAATTCTCTGAAGAAGGAAACATGCTCACATTTCTATTTAGTATTTGATGAGATTTCCTAGCATAAAAAACAATATTCTTTATATGAACTGTCAGTTGAAATTATAATTACATAAATTTGGTGTTGGTTGGTTGCAGTGCTAAAACATACTTGATTTTGTAAAGCTGATATCTGTTGAATATTTCTGTTGTTAAAAATCCATTCTTTATGACTTAGCTATTGCTCTTACATAGATTCTGATTCTTCCTGACCAATGACCTATTATATTTTTTTAATACACAAACAACATTGCTTCTTTAGTAATTTTGGTTAAAAATTAGTCAAAGATATACTTAGACTTTAGAGTTAAAAAGTTCAGTCTATTTTTAGGAAAAATGTTGGAATTTCTAATGAAAGAGTTGTTTTTTGTTGGGTAAATTTAAAAAGTGTTTTCTTCTGTTTAGTCACTGAACTTTGATACAGATGTTATCAATAAGTTACTACATGTTATTTAGTTAGCTGCACATGTTTATGTTGTAAACAAAATACTGTATAAGAGATTACAATTTGATATTCCAAAGAAAAACAAATTTCAGTCTAGAATTTGAAGAGTTGGAAGAGGAACTTCAACATATAATTTGGACTGTTGAAAAAGGAAAAGAAGTTCAGGTTATAATTTGTAGTGTTGCAAAGGAACTTCAGACTACAATTTGATTTGCTGGTTAAGCACAAAGGTACACAATGGACTATCTATGCTGTGCCTATCAGACTTAGTGCTGAACCACTAGGAGACTTTGTAGTATTAGAACTTCAGTCTATATTTTTTGAGTGTTGGAAAGGAACTTCAGTCTTTAATTTCAATTGTTAGAAAAGGAACCTCAGTCCATAATTTGGAATGTGATTTAAAGTGATGGAAAAAGAAAAAGAATCTCAGTTTATAAATTGGGGGGTTGTAAAAAAAACTTCAGCATATAACTTGGATTGTTAGAAAAGAAAAAGAAGTTCAGTCCATATTTTTGAGTGTTGGAAAAAAACTTTAGTCTATATTTTGGGGATCTGAAAACGAAACTTCAGACTGTAGTTTGGTGTGTTTGAAAATGTACTACAGTCTATACCGTGAGGAAAATGGTATTATGGCTTAGCAAGTAAAGCAATCTCATATATGCATGTTTCTTCCTCCATTGTCCAGTTACTTATGCAGAGCTGTGGTTCCAATGGTCCAAACACTTTTAACATAATTTGAATAGATAAGTCATGTCTGATTTAACAAAATAAATCCTGCATTATATTCACATAGTAAAACTTCTATATAACAACAATGTTAACATATAACAAATCAAACATTTCTGAGTCAAAATTACTGTTGTACGATACAGATGTCTAAAGAAAGAGAGTTTTTGACATATAGTGATCAGTTTGACTCAATGACGAATACCTTCTTGAAAACTGAGAAAAGGATTCGAGCTATATCTGAAACAGGAGTAAGTCAGTGATCTTCACTGATTATGACTGATTGGTTATAGTATTGGATTCAACCATACTGTTGGTGTGAACATGCTTTGTAAACACTATGAGAAAAACCTATACACTGGATAGGTGAAGTGGAGAAATAGTTGATTGATTATTATTTGTTTGATAATGGCTGGAGACGGCTTAAATGGGTAATGAAGAAAAAACTTTAATATAAGTTTAACATAACAGAAAATGTACAAAGCCATTATTAATCTCAAAGTGGGTTCCTCGTCATCGAATTATTATTTGTTTGTTCAAAGATTCTCAAGGGCTGCCTGTACTAGCCATCCCTAAGTTTGAAGTAATAGACTATATAGAAGGCAGCTGGTTAACACTGCCCAGCACCAACCATTGGGCTATTTCTCTACCGTGAATAATGGGTTTGATCATAACATCATAATGCTCCCACGGCTGAAAGGGTGAATTTGTTCAGTGAATGTTTTTTTTAAGTCAGTTGTCTGTCACTTCAGTTTTATGAAGATTGAGCTATGTATCAATAGCTCAGTTAGCAAAGAATGTCACTCCCTTCAGTCATTGATTTGACAGTCAACTGATTGTCCTAGCAACCATTTATGCAATCACTCTGAGCCAAAATGAATAGAAAGCTCTGATTGATGTTTTGGTGAGTCACAAAAGCAACTGTGAACTTCCTATCATGAAAATAGTGTTCATAGTGTTTGAAGGGATGTAATGGTCAAGCTGTGTTAGGCGGGTTGTCCCTTAGTCACCCTTCAACTGTCAGTTCCAAAAAAAGGTTGGGAATGCACATGTAACTCTCACGATGTCTGGCAAAAGACACAATGACAATGTTAACTGGCAATGACACAGAAGCATTGCCAAGCAAACACAAGCCCTATATATTGGCCATGTTTATGTGTAACCTAAGCCAAAGGTTAAGATTAATAATGTCTTGGTTACCTACCTCCTAATCCCAAGGAGATTAACTAGCTTCAAGAAACCTGAATGAGAAATTTTGAATATTCCTTAACATATAAAGATATATTCCTTTTATAAGATATGAAAGAGTAAAAAATATCTATTTTCAACTGCTATGCTGATAATTAATGCTTGCAAGTGTTTAAAAATGCTTTATCTTCATGCACCAGCATCTGTGCATTAGTAATAATTCTCTCTGCCATTATAAAAAATGAATTATATTTCTGATTTAAAAAAATCACTAGTGCCACTAAAAGCACAAAATATTTTACTAAAGAAAGAAGCAGATGTACTAACCTTGAAGTCATCCTTTGCCGTAATTTCTTACACCGTTTCTTTAAGGCTTTCTGCCTTTCCTTATCTAGGGCAAGTTCTGGGTCCATTTTATCAGCAGGAGCATCAAGAATGTGTTTTAAATTGTAAGATTCCTTCAAAAAAACACCAAAAAACTGAAATTGTTGCATATTTACTTTTATTTTCATAACTTTTTGCTGTAACTTTGGAAATACAAAAATATAATTTAAGTACTATTACTTTTATCCCATATTCTTTTTGCTTCAAAACTTGTTGTAGTATTAATTCTTCAAATGACAATTCTCAAATTTAAGTTTTAAAGGAAGAATCAAATTTCAAACCATGGGCTAACATTTTCATTTAAAACATAAAAAATAAGTATCACATTATCAGGATGATTAATATAATCATTATTCAAATGACCTCCTGTTAGTCAATTAAGTTAATCTAAATGTTCTGTCACAGTTTAACTAATCATTTACTATTTTGTGTGTTAATAAATTTAATTATGTCTATGTAATCCACATAATTCATTGTTTCTGTAATTGTAAAGAGACCTTTTCAAATTGCCCCTTTGAAATTTTACTTAACTTATACTTCTGTTTAATTTCAAAGTTTAATATCTGTCTTTAAATGTTCTAATAACATCTAGATTGGCAGAAATGGTTTATTGTTATTTTAAAATTATCAAATTTGCGCATAACATTATTATTTTTCCAACCACTCAGAAGAGTTTTAGTGTAACTGAGTTTTGTAAAGTTGTAATTACAATCTTTCCAATTTTCTGAAATATGATACAACTTTAGTACTATATCTGCAATTAAAAACTGCAGCAATGGATTTATGCACACAGAATCTATGTACAATAATAAACATTATGATCCAACAGATGACACACTACACTTAACTATTATTAAACTTTATTTTTCTGTTTTATATATTTTGATATGTTCATAATTGAACTGAATACAACCTTAACAAGATCCATCACATTTTCATACTTAATATTTATTGAGATTGTAAGTTACAAGTAAGATACCTTAGTTATTAGTATTCAGTGTTTGGAAAGCCTATCTCAAGGGGCAAAGGGCAGAACTTGAAATTAACACTAGCAAGTTTGAGCTGCATGGTATACACAGGCCAAGCATTGGGAAATGTGGGATAGCGAGACCGCAACTTCAACTCATCTTATTGGTTGCTAAGACAAATAACCTTCCTCATGATTACGTCACAAGTTTTTTATCACGGTGCCTTGTGGGATCAATAAGGAGGTAGCACAGCCAAATTGTTTTGTTAGAAAATACAGAATTTGAAGAGACATATGGGTATTAATTTTGATAAGTAATCAGCTGATATATGATAAAAATTGAAAACACAATTGATAAAACTCATTAGGAATGATGCACTTAAAATAGAATCAAATGGATGTCTATATAGAGTTTACACCTCTGAAATGTGAAGGACTTATTAATGCTTCTATGGGCATGGACAAAAGAATGGCCAGAAGTTGCATCCTTATATAACAAAAGAATTGAAATTGGAAGTAAAGATCTTGATTAAGCCAAACAAAACACCAAAACTAGCTTTTGTGGTAGAAAGTTGTGCATTAAATCCTCTAGAATGTAATCATCAGACCAGATCCTCAAGAAATTGCTTTCAACTACTGATAATCACAAATCAGAACCCATAAGATCTCTCGAACATAACCTCTCAATGATTTCTACTATTGCTCTGCTCAGATAACTCTTATCAAACCCACAATGCAACACCTACGTGATGTAAATATGTTTATGGATAATTTGCACATAGGCCAGATATATACACTCACATTATCTGGTCACTGCAGTGTAGTTCTGCTAGCAGCATGGTTAGAAGTAATGTAAATTGCATTTTTCTTATCCATATTGTTTTTAATTTCTTCATTATTAATACAAATGTTAGGTCTATTGGCTTCTTATGCTTTGCCAGCTTTCAGCATATAAACAATAACTTTTAAAAATATAATACTTACTTTTTCACTATGGAGTGGCTATCGGCAATGGAGTATTGTATGCTTTGTAATTTTAATTACATATAAAAGTGTTTTTATCTTAATTACTAAACAAACTAATGGAGAAAAATAAAGTGGATCTGGTAAGAAACATGCTTGTTGCCAGATCCATTCATTTTTGTCCAAATTGAGCATATGTTTGTTTAGCACTGTTATATTAGGTCACCAAGAAATTAATGTCACTTTTTTTTAGATGAAAAAACCCCAAACAACTTATATATCAAAACAAAACATTTATTAAATGAAATAGTCTCCATTCTTATTGATGGTGCTTTT